CCAACCATGGGGGACTACCAGTATATTCCTTAAACTCTCCCTAAACTGCAAATCCTAGGATTCCATAGGATGGAATGCTGACAGTTCAAGTTGGATCATAGTGCTATAATTATGTAGATGGAAAGACTGTGTGGTTTCTAAAGTGTATGTCAAATAACTGACTAGCCAATCCATTTTGCGCTATCTATAGCTAGAGAAAATCCTAAAGAGTAAATATATGCAACTGAGCACTATAGTTAGGATTGTTCAAGCCATTGTATTCCCAATCACTATGTACGAATGTGAGAGCTGGACAATGAAGAAAGCAGATGAAAAGAAAATCAACTCATTTGAGATGTGATGCTGGAGAAGAGTGCTGAGGATACCATGGACAGCAGAAAAGACAAACAAATGGGTCCTTGAACAGATCAAACCTGAACCCTCCCTGGAAGCCAAGATGATGAAACTGAAGCTGTCATACTTTGGCAACATCATGAGAATGCATGGCTCATTAGAAAAGACAGTGATGCTGGGAAAGGTTGAGGGTAGAAGAAAGAGAGGAAGACCACATTTCAGATGGCTAGATTCAATTAGGGAGGTCACAGGCATGAGTCTGGAGGACTTTAATAGAACAGTGGAGGATAGGGAGTCTTGGAGATGTCTCATCCACAGGATTGCCATGAGCTGAGGTCAACTTAAGGACAGTTAATAAATAATAAATATAGCTTCTGAACACTTCTCAAAGGCTGCCCCATATAAAGTGCTTTATAATAGCCTCATCAAAATGTTTCGTAAAAAACAAGTCCTGAAATGAAAAACAAAAATCAAACCAAACCAAAGAAATCTCACCCAGAATGCAGGAAAAAAAATATATGTAGGTGATGATTTATGCCTAGTTTATACAGATCAGACATTACTTTTTGGATCTCAGCTTCCAGAATCATCTCCAAGTATAGCAATTTTGTCTTCCTCGTGCTGGCAGAGGGGGATGGCTGGGGTTTGTGCCAGGCAGCTTGGGGGGTGATAGTGTGAGTTATTCACACTAGGGTGATACCAACTCTAGTGATGCCACTGGTTCAGGGTCAGAAGAACAATTTGGAGAGGGCACATTTGACCTGAGAGCCACACTTGCCCACATCTGGTCTGGAGACAATGCAGTGATGTAGAGAGAAGCTGTCAGTGGTTCCCACAGAATTCTACAGGAGAAAAGATCAAGGTTACACTTGAACCCAGTACTTGTACAAATGAAAGAATCTGCTCATTCCCAGAATAACAAGGGAGGGAAAGAATTATTCTAAAGCCCCTTAAATGCGGCTGGTGAAAAAAGGAGGAGTTACAAAACTCTGTGTCTCATGTGTTGACCTTTAGGGGGAAGGGGGTGGTGCATTTTGACAGCATTTCCAACTACAGCTTTGCAATCCAATCTTTGTGGGGAATATTTAAAAAATGCCTCAGCAAGCCTTTGTCCAAATTTCAAGGCTGGGTTCTTTTGAAATTTCTGTAAAATTCTCTCTCTCTGCCTCTCCAGGGAGGCGTCATATGGAGAGCTATCTTTTCAGCTCTCCCTTCAATGCACTTTGAACAAGCAACTGCTTTTACTGTAAGCATGTTATTCACGGTTTCTTTTCAAAAGCAAGAGATAGCAC